CACAATGTATTAATTTTAGTTAGTTGGTTATGTATTTTTTAAATAAAAAAAAAATTTTTGAATTTACTTACTTGTAGCCGGAGTTAGAGGTGGTTGAATACTTATGATTGCTATTGTAAATCTGTTAAATCATTAATCTGATCTAATAATAATCTAAAAATCTATTGACTTGATCTAATTTTTTAGATCAGATTAGATTAAATAATAGATTAATTTGCTTTGATATTAACTTAAAAAAATCTATTAATCTAATCTAAATTTTTAGATCAGATCAAAACAGTTAAATAGGTTGACCTAATCTAATTTAGAGTTTTATATCTAATCTATACTTTTATTAATTTAAGATCAGAAATTATTAATTCAATAATATATTAGATTTTATATAAAATTTTTTAAATGTGTTTAATTAAAATAATTTATAAATTATAAATTTGCTATGATTATTTAGACCAATTACTCAATTTTTAACATTATAATAATCAGAAAATTTTATTAATAAATTCATAACTTCTATTATATAAAAGCTTTAATTATATCAATAGATTATTTTAATCATCATATACTTTTTTAAATACTTTAACAATTTTTTTGATTTAAGAGAAAATGAGCTTTAATATTGAAAAGTATTATTTATTATATTAAAAATTATTTTATTTTTTCTTTTAAAATTATTATATATATAAAAAAAGTATTTTTCTTTTCATAAATATATATATTATTTTCAGAAAAATATTTAATCAAACATTTTTAAGATTAAACATATTAACTAATCAAAAATTATTTTTTAATTAAAATTCTCTGATTTTAATATTTATGTTATATGTTTATATTTATATAAATAATAATGCATAAATCAGTTTTTAATAAATATAAATATAAAAACTTTTTCAAATTTTACATATTTTTTAAAAACTGTATCATTTGATATAATATTCAGTAAGAATGTTAAAAATTAAATTATTCAAAAACAGGTTAAGATAATTTTCAAATAACTTTTCAATTTTCAAATCTTAACCTAATATTTATGGAATAAATTTAAATAAAGATGTAGTAAACGTTCTGTATGTTTAAAAAATCTTTATGAATTTGAGAAAATGTTATAAAAAAATGAAAAAATTTTTATTTAAAATATATATTAAACTTATAAAAAGCATATTATATAGAATTAGAGTATATATTAATAGTCTATTAAGTACTAAATGATTTATTATTTAAAAATACTTAAATAAATAAAATTTTATTTTAGTTGATTTGATAATTTTCTAAAGATAATATAATTAATGATTTAATAATTTAAAATTATTATTATAAAAAACTAAGATATCTAATTCTTTTAAATATTTAATATTTTAATCTGTAAAATAATATAAGTTATTAATAATTCTTATTTTCTTTGTTTTAGATAAAATTTTTTTATTCAAAACTAATTTTTTAATTTCTATTTAACTTTCTAACTCTAATCTAATGTATAATTATACTTTTGTTAAATTCAAAATAAGTTACTATACTAGTTTTTCTATAGTTTTTTAAAATAAATTAATTATTTCTTTTTTTACTCAATAGAATATAAAATATAAGTATATTTTAAAATTTTACATTTAAAAGTTTTACATTTAATAGTTCGTTTATTAATACATTTAATATGATTTTATAGCATTATTTTATATATAATTAAAACTAAATAAGTTTTAACAAATTGATCATTAATCATTAATATTACATTATATTTTATATTTAAGGAAGATAATCTGTAAATCATTTTACAAAAAATTATAATAAAAATATTATAGTATTTATATTTATTTGACTTTGTAATATTTAATTAAATATTCAAAACTGTAATTTTTGCTTATAAAATTTATTTAAATATAAACATGTTTATAGCAAATTTATTTTTAAAATTTTATATTTATATTATTATATAAGTTAATTGCAAAGTCTATAAATTAAAAAATAGATTTTGATACATATAGTAAAATTTTAAGTTTTTAAAAAGTTAATAATTTATTTTAATAATTTTAAAGAATTATTTATATCAATAAAATTATAAATTAATAATGAGAAAAATAATAATAATAGAATGGTTTATATTACAAGTTTAACTAATTAAAATTATAAAAATAAAAGTTAATTTATTTATAAATTAATTAAATCAATACTTTAATAAAATTTTGTTAATAAGTTTATCAAATTATAAATTTTTTATATAATATTTATATTTGACTAATTGACTGTAAAACTAATTAATAAAATTAATTATTTAACTGATTAATTAATTTACTAAACTGATTTTATAAAATTTTTATTTCATTTATACAAAATTCTTAATCTTTCTTTAGAAATAATTAAAAATAAAATATAACTAAAGAAATTATAAAACAATATAAACATTATTAATTTTATTAGCAAGTTAATCAACAATTTTATGATAATTTTATATAATTAGTAAATTATAATGAAAATCATTATTATTAAACTATTTTTTTAATAAATTACAAATTATTTAATTATTTATCATATGATTTCAGATTAAATTTCGACCAATCAGGAGTTTATATTTTCTACTTAAGCTATTTATGAAAAAAGTAAAAAAAAATATATGAAATCAAAGGAAAAAAATATATTAATTACTTCTTATGTATATATACACACATATATATACACGAGATATACACATTTGCTAAGTCAATTCATTGCAACTATTCCTTAATTTAAGACATTGATAAATGATATTATGACAAAAATTTTTTTTATCCAAAATATAATAATATAATTAGGTAAAGCCTACATACTAAATAGTCAAATTTTTTAATCTTATCTCGTCGCTTATGTTACCCAGATTTAATAAAAAAAATTTTTTAGTTTTCAATTTTTTTTTTTTATCCTCGCCTGGAACCCTGAGGAATATTAGATTGGTTATTATTACCAAACCAAATCACTGCTGATTTCGTATGTTGATATGCTTTAATTAGCAAAGGTGGAACGTTTGGGTTTCCAAAAATCTTTCTATCCAGGAATTGCGTAACATTATCAAACACTTCTCGAGTGTAAGGATTCATATGATATCTCATGCGGAGGAAGATACAATAACTGAAAAATATAATTATTGCAAGCTGAAAACTATTAAAAGATAATTTTGAGTTAATGAAACAAAATAAATAAATAAATAGAAATTGACAATTTTGTTGCAAAATAACTGGGGAAAAAAATAAACGTACGTTAATATATTTAACAGTAAAAATGATGTGATAACTACAACTTCGACGAAACTAACAATCTTCATGGCTTGATCGTAATTATTGTGAACCCACGTTTGAATATATTTTGAAGTTTTGTTGACCCATTCATTTTGTGCCCCCGGAGGACCGGAAGGATGTGGTGGAGGAAAGAATGTTTGAAGGATATTTGTTCGGAAATATGTAATGAAATGGAACAACGAAAATGTTGCATATGGGACGAGTGTGACTAAAGATGGAAAAGAAATGTATATTAAATAAAGTTGCGACAATTTATATATTGGAAAAGATAGAAAACCGCAAAACTCATCATTATTAACTTACCGAAAACCGGTGTACTCATAAACCACATAAATGCTAGCAAAAAATAAAATACATTTTCGTCTTTGTTTATCTTTTGAAAATATTCCCAGTTAAGACGTGGTGTCTACAAGGCGATAAAAATTTAGTATAAATAAATAATCTCGACCTTATAACTCTAATCTAATTTTTTAAAAACTAATAACTTGTGAATCCACTTGTAAAAATGAATCTTTTGATCTAGATCATCATTCTAAAATGAGTTACTGTTTTCCTACCCTCCATTTCTAAGAAAAAAAAATAAAAAGAAATATTTTGACTATAATAAAGTTAAATTTGTTAAAAATCAACTCACGCCAAATGATTTATAAATGACAACACCATAGCTCAGCATAGCTCCAAAATATGCTCCATGATAAAAAATTACTCCTTCGGACGAACTAAAAGTGATCCAATACCAAAAATAAAAAGACGTGCAAAAAAGCACAATACAATGTCCACACCACCAAAAGAATTGAGGGTGCTATAATGTAAACCATAATAAGTATTAACATCAAAAGAATCTCGCGTAAAAACTTTCTGCAGCAGGAACAATCAGTTACCTTGGCAAGTGTCCAAGCACGGTTTGCGAGAGGCTGTTTTGCCATTCTATCTGCTTTAAGACCAAATACCTGTCACTAAATCTCTGATGACTTGTTTTATTTAAAAGAACAGAAAATTTTAGGGAAACTACTTGTATGTGAACAGAATATAGGTTTAAATCATCAACTATATAGCACAGATTTGGCAAAAATCTGGAAACGTCATCGGTACTTTTCACATCCCCAATCAATTTTTGGCTGTCGTCCTACCGATCTATAACAAAAATTTACTTTAAATTGTTGATACTTTAGTCATTTTTTGTATCACTACTTTCACTGTAAGAGAGACATAACAATGACACATGATTATATATCAACGTTTGTATCATAAACAAAAAAGAAGAATGGTTCTTTTCCCACAATCGTTTCGTCAATATGATAATATTTTATTTTCCATATTGAAAAATCGGGTAATCGCACGCCACGAGGCGTGTGATTCGAAAGTAGGTCATAAATTTATGACATGACCGTATAATTACTTCCATAATAATAAATATTCAATAAATGGTTAACAATACCGATTAATATATAATCTCAGAAAAACCTATGACGAACCCGGTAAAATCCAACCTAAAATTGGTAAACAACGGAAAATAGTTTTAGCAAATCACATTTTTAATGACAAAAATTTTTTTAAAATTATCGTAGTATCATTTTTAATTATCAAATTTGCTTTATATACTTTTCTATTGAGTTACAAGCTTATTAAAAAATAAATTCCAAATTATTATTATGATTATTGTATAACTAAAAATACTACATTAATATTTTTCTAGAATTCTAAAAATTATTTCTAAAAAGGAACCCTTTTTTTTTAATATAGTTATTTTATAATATATTTAAAAATGTTAATACTATTTAGGTAATACCAAATTTTCTATAATTTCTTTCTTAATTTAGTAAATTTTTTAAATAATAATATTGCTTAAATACTAAAACTTAATAAAACCGATAATAAAATTTTTTAAATTTAAATATTATAAATAAATATATTTTGTTTATTTACTAAAAGTTTTTAAATTAATTATATATATATATATTATAAATGTTATTTATAAACTAAAAAATTTTAATTTTTATAAAAATATATATTAAAGTTAGCAATCTTATTATATTATAAAATTATAAAATTAACTATAAGAAAATACTTTTTTTTTTATATAAAGTATATACAAATATATTTTTTAAAATTTTATTTTTATACAATAATAATAAAATAAATAATAATATTTATATAATTAAAGTTTATATTAATTTTTTATTTGTTAATTTAAATTTATAGTATTATGTTTATAATAATATTTTATAATTATAGTCAATTCTCTAGAAATATATCTTTTGTGGCTAAAAAGTATATATTTATATAAAATATGGATTTATAAAAAAATATAGATTTTATATTAGAAAAAACTGTTTGTGATTAAATAATATAATTATATTATTTAATTATAAATAGTTTAGATTAAATTATTTATATAAGTAATAGTATAAAATGGATAAGTAATAATATAATAAATAACTTAATTATAATTATTTTTATTAGAGTTCTGGATGAGTCAAGTTAACTCATGAGTCAGATAAGCTGAGTCAAGTTTAAATCAAATTGAGTTTATTTTTTTTGACTTGATGATTTGCGAGTCAAGCCAAATTCAAGTTGAGTTAAATATTTAACTTAACTTGATTTAAACTCGACTTAATTCAAGTTGACTCGAGTTGACTTGAAATAGTATTATTTTTAGGGATATTAAAATCCAGTCTGATCCTAGTTTGGTCCTGAAACACCCAGTCCATAGGACTTGGATCCTAAGACTGGATTCTAGGATCAGGTTCTGAAACTGCAGTTCTAGAACTGCAGTTTTATAGAAAAATAATCGTTCAAGAAAAACGATAAGAAATTGTTTGACTTGAATGATAAAAAAATTGTTCAAAAAGAACGATGGTGAATCGTTTGACTTAAATGATAAAAAAATTGTTCAAGAAGAATGATGATGAATCATTCAACTTGAACAATAAAAAAATCATTCAAAAAGAATGATGATAAATCGTTTAACTTAAACGATAAAAAATTCATTCAAGAAGAACGATGATGAATCATTTGACTTTAACAATAAAAAATTTGTTCAAAAAGAATGATGATGAATCGTTCGACTTGGATGATAAAAAAATTGTTCAAGAAGAATAATGATGAATCATTCGACTTGAACGATAAAAAAATTGTTCAAGAAGAATGATGATGAATCATTCAACTTGAATAATAAAAAAATTGTTTAAGAAGAATGATGATCTAAATTATTCAACTTGAACGATAAAAAAAATCATTTAAGAAAAATGATAACTCAAATCGTTCAACTTGAACGATAAAAAAATCATTCAAGAAGAATGATGATCCAAATTGTTCAACTTGAATGATAAAAAAAATTGTTCAAGAAGAACGATAATAAATCATTCAACTTGAATGATAAAAAAAATTGTTCAAGAAGAACGATGATAAATCATTCAACTTGAATGATAAAAAAAATCATTCAAGAAGAATGATAACTAATCATTCGACTTGAATAATAAAAAAATCATTCAAGAAGAATAATAACTAATTGTTTAACTTGAACAATAAAAAAATCATTCAAGAAAAACGATGACTCAAATCATTCAACTTGAATAATAAAAAAATCAATTAAGAAGAACAATAACAAATCGTTCGCTCTTTCCCTATTTCCTCCCTTCTCTTCCTCTAATCTTTTCATTTTTTTTTATTATTTTTTTTCAAAATCAAATCGAGTTAAAATTAAGTCAAGTTAAATTGAGTTGTTTAAAATTTATATAACTCAAATTAAATCAAATTGAAAGATTTTATAAAATAAATTTGACTTGATTTAACTCAAAAAAAGAGAGTTGAATAAAGTTAATCTTTAAACTCAATTCGACTCAATTCATTCAGAACTCTAATTTTTATTATGAGTTATGCATCTATAAATACTTTTAATATAATTTATATTAATAAAAAATCTATAGTTGTTATATTGTTAATGAAATATTTGCTTATTATTATATATTTATAATCATTTAATTTTTAAATAATTAATTTCATATTGATTTCCTTCTATGTTCTTTTTATTGTTAAAAAATTAGTCATGTCTTTGTATCTTTTATTTTATGATTCAAAGCATAAGGACAATTATTTTTATATCAAAGTAATACAATGTTATTTTATTCTGCATATTAATCAACTAATAAAATTCTGCATTACTAGTCATGTGTATTTCACAAAAATTGAACATTAAAAAATTGAATTTTTATTATAAGTTTTATTATATTTTAGATTAAAATAGTTACTGTTCCCTAATTTTTATTATAAAAATATCATATCAGATAATATAATTAATTATAATTAGTTTTAGTTAATATTATACTATAATACTAAATAATCTTTAAAGTATATAATTTATGAAAATTTATTTTAGCATTATAATAGTATTATGATAATACTTTAAAACTATTATAAAATTAATAAGAATAAAACTTAAAAAGGTTCTATTGGTTTTTCAGATTTAAATCATTTTTATCTTAACTTAGATCTAAATTATTATATTTTAAACTAGATCAGAATTTATAAAATAATATTAATTGAAATAATTATTAATAAAAATGATGCTGTAACTAATTGTAATTATAAAATGCTTATTTATCATCAATTGTAATTCAATTTTTGTTAATGTTACAACTAGATGCATTTTAAAATGTTTATTTATTATCAGTTGTAACTAGTTGCAGTACTATTTTTAATTATTAATTTATTATGTCTTATTGTATCTTGAGTTTTAATACTTTTTATCACTTTTTTATCATTTTTTCACAATTTTTAAATATATTAAATGAAGAAATTAAGATAGAAATTAGGACAGAAATTAGGACAGATTTTTTTGTTATCAAAGTAATACCAAAAATATCACTTAGATTTTTTTATAGTAATATAACACATTCTTATAAAAAATTTATGAGATCAATTTAGAGATAATTTTAGTATTATTTTTAAGTTTTTTAGTTTGATCTATTTGATTCTTTACTACTACTAATTCTTATATCTTATAAGTCTTTATAAAATGTAAAAAATTTTAAAAAATTTAATTTTTTATGATACTATATTATTTTAAAAATAAGTATTTCATGATATACTTCTTTTATAGTAATTTTTTATTTGTTTTACATATTTTATTATATTAATTATTATTTTCATAATAATGAATGTTTATTTATTATAGAATGCCTTATAAATACTATAGAAAAAAAGGTAATATTATATTAAATACTTTAAAATCAAAATATAAATCTTTATACTTTGATTATAATTACTTAAATTCAAATAATTTACTTTAAAAATAAATATATATAAATACATTTTATAGTAAAGTAGGTAATAGTAACTTTTTATCCTTTTTTTCATAAATTAGCTAAGAGAATTGTTTTATTAAAATAATATAATATTAATCTTGTTACTAAATTCATATAGTAATAGATTTAGAATCAAATATAATAATATTGACTTTTTATATCTTACCTGTTCAGATAAATATTATGAAAAATACAATATAACTTTTAATGAAGATAAGCTTTCAAAGAGATATACTGGAGTAAAATTATTAAAATTATTATAAAGATGATAAATAAATTTTGTAATAAAGTCAATACTTATCTTAGAATAAAAAATGGTATTCTTATTTAAAGATGATGATTAGAAGATATTATTTTATTAGTAAAAATAAATATTTTAAAATTAAGTATAAAGAAGTAGTAAATTTTAAATTAAAAAGTTTTTTATTAATAGGAATAATATTATAAAAGGCTTTTTAAATTTATTAAAAAAAAAAAAATTTATATTAGATTTTTATTATTAATAACATTTTAATATTTAATAAATTTAATTAAATAAAAATATATTAATTTTATATACTTATTTAATTAAATTGATATCAAATTAAGATCAATTTTAGACTAATTTATGGTTATTTAAATTCTAAATAATGCTAAATTGTTTATTTAATTAGAATCAATTAGTAATTTTTAGATTAATTTATAATTGAATTTAAGTTTTAAATTAATGTTAAATTGATATTAAATTGAAATTAATTTTAGGCTAATTTTTAATTGAATTTAAGTTTTAAATTAATGCTGAATAGTTTTATTTAATCAATATTGATTAATAATGATTTGAATAATTAGAAACATTTAATCAATCATAAATAATATCAAAATCAGTTTAAATTCAACCATTTAATTTTTAGCTAATTTAAACTATTAAGACTAGTACTA